CACACACACTCACACACACACTCACACACACACTCACACACACACTCACACACACACTCACACACACACTCACACACACACACACACACTCACACACACACTCACACTCACACACACACTCACACCACACTCACACACTCACACTCACACACACACACACACACACACCACTCACACTCACACTCACACTCACACACACACACATACACACACACACACGCTGATTGGTCAGTGCACTCAGTATTTCCAGAAGCATCTCAAGAACGTCTTTACTAGTAACGGCTTGATGCATACCTACTAAATGACTCGTAAAACATGGCGAGTGTAGGAACAGCAGTTTCAGAGTTCTGTTGTCGCTTTTAATTTCTTCGAAAGAAGGTCACGCAAAATAAAATTAAAATTGCAATATAAAATGGGAATGCTTCCTCTGAAGCTGTTCTTTACGCCCGCTCTAGTGGCTCGCAATAGTGTAACAAATGAAAGAAACAAAATAAATTGAACTCTAAATGTAATGAGTGGAAGTTAACGTACTGCTGCAAGTGCGCCGGAGAGATTAGTAGCTCCAGATGACGCAGGAATTGCGACAGACAGATCATGAGATTGAACGAACTGGCAAACGCTTCACAGAAACTTTTTTTTTCTTTTTCTTGCGCGCCAACAGTGATACCTATTTGTCGAGTGATATCATTATACGCCCTCTGATTTCACCCGCGATGCAACGCACAATAAAACAGATTACGTCCTCCCGTTTTTTTTTTTCGGTTGCTTTTTCGGTCTTGTGTCAGAGTATAAGACGCCTGAGCTGCGTCACAACATTGAGATTTCTCTCTCTTTCCTTTCCTCCACTCCTCCTCTCTCCCTCATTTTACCGCCATTTCACAAAAGCCGCGTTACCGGAAGAGCCGCTATCGAATCGCTCTGCAGAGCAAGGTGCCAGATAAGATGTGCAGCAAACAAGCTAAAACGAAACGAGATAGAAGCTTTTGGCAGGTTGCTAAGAAACCCGCGTGTCCATCGAACTCGCCCCCGCTGACATTCTGTGCATAGCCCAAAGACGCTGGGTGAGACTGTCGTCTGCGGCCGCCGTCGGTCGGCGTGCACCCCATTTCCGGACCAAGTACAAGTTGTAAACAGTCTCCCGTGGTCCTGATAGCGCGCGCGCATCTGAAATCGGACGCCGATGACACCAGCTCGGAGCGGCACAGGCTGTTTGAGCCAGATACGTCTCAGCGGGAACTCCGCAGGCCGTGGCTTTTCCCCGATTAGTGGCTTCAGTTTTCCCGCTGTTTCTTGGGATCGCAGCCACCTTATAATTCTTAACGTAGGTTGATTTTTTTGATAACATGCTTGGCACGTAGGTCTGATACAACGAAAGTAGTAAAGAAACAGCCAGTCTCACCGACACTATAATGCTGTTTTCAGGCATGTGGGAACGATTGGTGCAACTGCGTCGCTTTTCGGAGGTGGCGCCTCAGTGGTGATTTGGCCTGTCTGTAGGGTTTCGCTTTACCGAGGGTGTCAGTGTGAAGGGGGGGCCTACGGCAAAGACAGCGGCGAGTGTGGCAGTACACTGCAGAGCGCGCGCCACGCCCCCGAAATCTGGTGTCTCAGCTTCTCGTCGACATCGTCTTGGTCTTCCATTCACCCTAGTGGTGGCAGCGCACGAGGACTTAACTTCAATCCATGGTAAGTGTTCACGGCTCCCACTGAACGGAGACCTAGTAGCTTCTGCATTCTGCACTTCTTGTTCATGTAATAGAACAGTATTACTTAGCGTAATCCTGTGATCGGCACTTCAAGCACTGCAGCCAATATTCTGAATCCTATATTCAATGCGTGGTTTTTACTGTATCGTGTTGTGCAACGAGACTTCATGTCGCTGTCAGTTTACTATGAAATGGTTGGAAGCCTTCCGCTTGCCGATTACGAACACGAAAAGATTTTACATATTTAGTTCAATTATAATGTATTGTACTGGGTAACAAGGTAATCAGTGTGATCACCTATACTTTATGCCACCGCATTCATTTCGGTAAGAAATCAGGTTTTGATAATTGCGAAAAATTTGAACTCGCATCTCTAGTTATTCCAATCGTATTGCATTATTGTAGCGTACGTTCTGCGTATGAGAGTCCGAACTGACCACGCACTCGAGGTCTTCGTAACGTTGGCTAATGACATCGATTCAATGTGAAATGCTACGTACCATAACGTCTTTTTGGAGATATTGCACAACACTGTCTTGCACGACGTTGAAGTTAGTAAAGTTGATTTGATCAAGACCCGTAATTCAGACAAATTCACGTAAAGCCGGAAATTTGACATCTCGTCATGACATTGCGGTACCTGTCATCGATTTGAATCTCGATTCTGTTCTTGCTTATTACATTCACTTTTCGTTTGCTATCAACGACTTCTGAATTATTTAAGCAAATTTGATCAGACCGGATGCTTCAAAATCTAAGCGCCCTTAAGTAATAGCCGTGCGCTATAGCTATCTTGCTACAGCGTTATTTCTCAGCATGACGTTGGGGGTTGTTCCTTTCTGAGGTGATCTAATGAACGACGCATCAGCGCAAAATTGTTGTGGAATTAAGGTTATAACGGTGTCATCACGAGACTTAGAGGAAAAACGATGAAGGAAAGACTGAAAAGCCCAAACACTTTAATCACCTTGAACGCATGTTTACAAGAACGAGATATTTCGTTAAATGTCTTCTTATTCGTACTCGATCACCAATCGAAGAGCATGCGTGACGTGCTTCTGGTAGCTTTAACTTAGTGACTCACAGATGATCCACAGCGTAAACATCGAATTACGTGAGCATTAGTGACTTTCGGGAGTACGCACATCACAGAATGCTGCGTTCGATTGACTACGAAAGCCGTATATTTTCAGTGTATACTTTCACGTGAGGTTCGAATCGCGAAAGAGGAGTACTTACAGCATGTAACGTATCATTAGCGTTGTAGCCCCGCCGTTGTGGTCTAGTGGCTAAGGTACTCGGCTGCTGACCCGCAGGTCGCGGGATCGAATCCCGGCTCCTGCGGCTGCATTTTCCGATGTAGGCGGAAACGTTGTAGGCCCGTGGGCTCAGATTTGGGTGTACGCTAAAGAACCCCATGTGGTCGAAATTTTCGGAGCCCTCCACTACGGCGTCTCTCATAATCAAATGGTGGTTTTGGGACGTTAAACGCCACATATCAATCAATCAGTAGTTAGCGTTGTATACTTGACAGTTACAGTCGGGGAAAAGAAGACAGCCCAGCCCTTAAGGTATAGCAATCAAAGAACTTGGGAGCTTTTTTACTAAGGGTAAGACAACATGCGGTGTGGGATCCCGACTAACTGTCACTAGGACGTAGTCTTTTGGATTTTTATGCAATACTCTTTAGGTTAGAGAGCAACCACGTTTTCTTTTTTGGCGCAAAGGAAATTTTATCAACCAGTGAGTCTGATGCCGGAATGATAAAGCGAAACAACACCACGAAACATTTGTAATGAGAGTTTTTCTACCTCCAGCACATATGAAGTCGTATGTTCAAATGCTGCGAACTGTGAGCTTGCGGGTGGTTCATGTTCGAGCGTGGCGGTTTGCTGCGGATGCGTGCACTCCGCTGGCTTGCGCCACGGTTCGTCTCGGTCCACTGGCGGCCACGACGGCAGCGCCGCTTTTCACCGCGCAACTTCGTTTACGTCGTAAGCAGCACAGAATTGAGCGGGTCTGAATAATATTATACGTACCATAATTTTGAGGAATGGCCCGCGCACGACTGCATCGCAGTACGCGACCACGTTGAGCAAAGTGATCGACTCCATATGTTTGAATCCGGAAACGTGTTAAGGTGTATTGAAAATTTTTTTGAAGTAACTCAGATCTTGTACCATAATGTGTTGTATATTTACCTGTTAGTTTGTACCTCCTGTATTGTTGCTTTTTTTTGGGTCATATTCACATACTGTACCACCCCCACTCCTGCCTGGGCTATTCTTAGCCTGCAGTATTTTCTAAATAAATAAATAAAAAAATAATGCAGCTTCAAGGCTATGCTGCGCGACAAAAGTTTTTTTTTTGAAAAATTTAGGCAGTATCTAAAAAGAAGAAAAAAAACGCCAGGCCTGCGCAGCACTGCCACAGTGAAAGCTCGAAGAGCAGCGTTTCGAAGCTTTTTCTCAACTCTCTCAGTAACTGCTACAAGCACGCTTGCTGGGTACCCGCTACGTCATAAATAATCATAATGTTTGTGCAGTAGGCTGGCATAGAATATAGGCTATCCTTCACCATTCTTTGGAGAAGCGTGGCGTCCACTAAACAATTGCTAGGAATATTGCGCAATAATGCCTGAAGTGGGTTTGCGCCACGGTTAATAAGTGATCTGGTACAAGCTTTTGTAATGGATTGGATAGTTGGGTGACCCACACTTTACGCAATTCGCACTGTGTGACGCCTGGATGTTCTTTTGCTGTTTTAAAAAGCTTTGATACTTCATAGTAGAGCGATTTTTTTCCCGATTTTCAAACTAGTTTCAAACACCAGCGTGACTCTGTGGTAGAATACCGGGTTTCCACGCAGCAGGCTCGGGTTCGAATCCCATTGTGTTCTTGGTGTTTTTATTTATGGATTTTTTTCTTATTTTGTTCAATATTGGTTACGGACACCGGCGGCGGCGGGCAACCACGGCGTCGCACGTGACCCTGTGTTCTGATCTCGAAACATCTTTTGCGGTAAAATATAAATCCTAGTCGCAACGCGATAAGAATGTTGGAACATGTCACTACATTTCATTCTCTTTTCAATTCTATTAGGATCTCATCGCACGTTCTGGCATTGTCGGTTCCTTTAACTACTGCTGTTAACGGTAACTTTAATTGCCTAAACGGCTACGGATGCTTATTGTTTACGTTAAAATATATTTTCTGAACGATCGCAGAAAGAACTTTCATTTTCACACCTGTTTTTAGTTTCGTCACTGCTATCTGCTCTTCGCAGCTGTGACTGTCGAGGACGAGACCCAACTAAATGATGGCGCAGCCAGATTCTCGGGCCTGTTGGCCTGTAGCTGTTTCCGCGTCTATATATGTGTTCGTGGCGATGATGCTAATCAAGTCCGAGTCGGTGATCTACATCGGTTTCATGGACATGCTGGACATCAACAGACAGGATGCCTCTTGGCCCCTCACTCTGGCCATCATCATCTCACAATTGGCAGGTGAGTGCTGGCTGGCAGTTGGTCTTGTCCGCTTACTAAGCCACGCACGCGAGGAAGAGCGGCTTTGACGACTGGCGTAAAAAGCCAATGCTCTCTGTTGTAGCTGTTTATATCATTCTTCTTTTAATTTATCGATAGGATGTAGATGAGCGATTTGAGTACCTATAGGTTAACACCGCCTCCTCCAAGTCACTCGACAAACAAAATATTTCAAAGTACTGAATTCTGAATCAGAGAGAGAAAGAAAGAAATAGGTAAACAGAGATACACAAAGTGATTAAGCTGTTAGATGTAACCGGTTTGCTCTCTGGCGCTAAATTAAAGGCGCTAAATTAAAGGCACTAAATTAAAGGCACTAAAGAGCATATAGAAAGAGCGCAAGAGCACACAGTACCGTTCAGCCATGTGACCATGTATATGTGTAAATGAATTTTTGTTCAGGGTCTCGCTATAGCAATCAGGATTGAAAACAGAAAGCTGAAAGCAATTCATAGCTGATAGGGGCCAAATAGTGCAATTTAACAAGAACTTAGAAAAGAGGGGACACAACACGCAGTGCTCGTTTTGTACCTGATCTCCCGTTTTTTTATGCCCCGTTTTGCACCTACCAGCTAAAGGTATGCTTCACCACACTTGTGAACTGCCCATAGACTTCTCTATTTCCCTACTGTTGCTCCTCACTTTCTATCTCCCACTTCCCACATGTAGGGTGGCAGACAGGATGTCGAATTCACATCCATATTAGTCGGTCATTTTCATTCTCTCTCATCTTATTATTTGGAAATTTATCTCCTCTCTTTCAACCTTCACTCACTTCATTAGGCTTATTCAATTCACTTGTACTGCAAAGGTCCACCTGCTTAAGCTACCATTTTCATGCCGCTTCCCTGTATGACTTTCACTCGCTCCCATGCCACCATGCACTGAAGGGCTTAAATGTGAATTGATCAGTAATTTGATATGAGTTTATCTGAAACAGCTGTTTTTATCATGTCACACTTTCTTATCGGCTCGCTCTTCTTCTGGGCGACTTCGGATCTAAAAGTGTGTCAATGTTTTTTTGTGCGCCGCAGGTCCCGTTTACGGCGTTCTGGGCGTGTGTATGTCTGAGCGCGCCATGCTAATATGCGGTGCCCTGCTGTGCGCATTGTCGGTTATGATGTGCTCACTGGCCAACAGCCTTCTGATGGTCGTGATACTGTACGGAGTTTTTTACGGTAAGAGTTGTGAGCCACATCTATGGTGCCGATTACAATCTTCATTTGTTATTCTTGAATAAAATGGACAAAAAGGGAACATGCTCCTAATGGAAAACTAACGAGGCCAAGTGAAAATTGTTGTGAAGACACTAAGAAGGTGCCTAACTGAAATGTTTCGTGTGAAATTATATTCTGTGTATTTGACATGGGATCCTTACAGAGTTCATAGAATTACGGCTTATTTGCCAGATAGTTTGCAAAAAAATGATACGAAAAAAAATGCAGCATATCTACGGAGTGAATGATGGAGAGTGGGGCGAAGAATTCGTCCGTCCATTCGTTCTTGCTTCCGTCCGTCCATGCGTCCGTAAGTGTGACCGTCCATACGTCCATCAGCCTGTCCGTCCGTGCGTCTGTTCGTGCGTTCGTCCGTGCGTCCGTCCCTGCGTCCGTCCATGCAGCCGCCCCTGCGTCAGTTCATGCGTCCATCCATGCATCTGTCTATGTGTCCGTTCGTCCATCTATTCAACACTCCAAGTACCACCATCTCGCATCTTTTCGTCATATATTCCCAATATAGAAGCACCGCAATCCAGCGGACATTCCAAGGACTAAACGAGAGGTGGCACACGCACACTTTCTTAAGGCTTGCGCTTCGGGTCCACTTCCCACCTTTAACCACCTCGAGTTCATGCTATATACTAGTTCACTGTATTCATAGCACTGCGGCCGAACGCTCGCTAAACCTTTCGAAAACCAAGGAGGTTACGCCCAGCGAGTATGACGTAGCAAACTTTTTCAGTCAGATAGTACTCAATGTACATGCCAATGGCTGCTAATGGGAAATGAGAGGCGGAGAATTCGGCTTTTACTTTCTTACGGCTTCCGCTTCGTATCTACTTCCCATTTTTAACCACCTCGAGTTCATTCATGGTATATACAAGTTCATTGTATTCATGGCACTGCGGCTCAACGCTCGCTAAACCTTTCTAAAGCTAAGGAGGTTACACCCAGCGAGTATAACGTAGCAACCCTTTCTTGTCAGATAGTGCTCAATGTACATGCCAAAGGCTGCTAATGGTGATCGCAGCCTGCGCGTTAACTAAAAGCCGAATGCTCCTGTCTCTCATTCCCCATTAGCAGCCATTGACATGTACATTGAGCACTATTTTTTATTGTTCAACAACGCACAGATGAAGTCTCTTACCGGCACCACTTTGGAGGTCAAAATGTTATACTTGTTACATCCTACGGGGGACGAACGGGTGCCGCTATAAAGAGTTTTGCCCCTAAAAATTTGTGGGCTCTTGATATTTGCGTTCAAAAGTATAATGTGATAGCGTAATCGAACCCTCTTCACGTCGCACACTCAATCACTATCCCGACTTCGCTTCCGGATGGACACATAAACCATGCGGCAAAGAAAGGAACGTTTCTGCACTTGTAAGTGGCCCTTTTTGAACCATCCTTGGAGGCCTACTGCAAGTTCAGTTGCAAAGTCACCACTATGACACAATCGTTTATTTATTTATTTATTTATTATTTATTATTTAATATGGAGTTTGTGACGTACTCACTCGAATTTTTAGGGGCGACATGCGCAGCTGCACAATGTTAATTGCTTTTGTCGGCCCTTAAACTAACCTGGCCATTACAAAGTAACTTTTCCATATTAATAGAATAATAAGTCGCTAATAAGCCTTTAGACTGACACCTTAGCGCAGCGTCGAATAGCAGTTTCATCGAGAATGCTTAGATGATGACACTAAATGCTTTTATACGATCGATCTCTTCACTCACATAGAAGAATGCTCCTACCACACACCTACGTTACCTTACAGGACTGGGAGTGGCGTGCGAAGAAGTGCTGCCCTTCACCGTGGTGGCCCGGCATTTCGTCAGGTATCGGGGCACCGCGATGGGTTTGCTCTTCGTCGTGACTGCTGTGTCGGGCTTCGTATCCCCACTCATCACGGAGGCCTTGCGCCAGGCTCTGGAGTTCCGTGTCGCACTCCTGGTGCTCGGAGCCCTGCAGCTGAACATGCTGTTCGGCTGCATCTTCGTCAATCGGGTGCCGGCGTCCGGAGAGCCCAACGAACCCGAAGTCGCCGCTCCGTCACGCAACGCCAGGTCTCGCAGAAGCAGCTTCCAAACAGCTTCGTTCGCTCACTCCTGCTCCAAGGACCTCGTAGCTTCACTTGCGGTTCTCAACGAGTAAGTGTAAAGTGTAGCCCCGCCGCGGTGGTCTAGTGGCTAAGGTACTCGGCTGCTGACCCGCAGGGCCCGGGTTCGAATCCCGGCTGCGGCGGCTGCATTTCCGATGGAGGCGGAAATGTTGTAGGCCCGTGTGCTCAGATTTGGGTGCACGTTAAAGAACCCCAGGTGGGTCTAAATTTCCGGAGCCCTCCACCACGGCGTCTCTCATAATCATATAGTGGTTTTGGGACGTTAAACCCCACATATCAATCAATCAAGTATAAAGTGTACCACCAGCACGCGGCTTTTTTTGTGTGTGTGTGGAAGGGGGGGGGGGGGTGCACAAGAGTCGGATTACAATAATATGTTGATGTGCTGTGTGTCTCACTTGTTGGCTTTAGCAACGCAGGATTTCATGATAAGATGGGTACTTGAAGACAAGAAAATACTTGACGGGCAATGTCGCTCGGATAAAAAACATTTCGACAAGTCGATTTGTCGTAGTCACGGCAGCCTACATCACGGTTGTCATCACGGTTGTGCAACAACCCCTTGTGCAAGAATTTCAAATGGAAGCATTTCTTAGCGAAGTCCTCTCATATATATGTATATATATAAGGATAGATAGATAGATAGATAGATAGATATGGATTGATAAAGATGGATAGATAGATATATATATAGATAGATATAGGTAGATAGATATACATATATATAGATAGATAGATATAGATAGATAGGTATAGATAGATATATATTGATATAACTATGACATAACATGGCTGTATGACTAGCATAATTGACTAGCCATAGCTTGATGATCATGAATGCCAAGATTTACATTTTGTGGTCTCGCTGCTCTTGGATGGTTTTGGTCTAATGACATGTTGAAAAACTGGTATGGTATACGACCCGACTGCATGGCGAACACGATCGACAGACGCTAACATGAAAATCGTGACATGCGTGTCATGTAACATGACTACATGCAAAACTTATGATACACTCACGGCCGTTTCGCTAGCTTCACATATACTAAATTTGGTACTACGGAACGTGAATAGATGACAAATGTATGTGACTGGTGCAAACATGATAATTATGAGATGCGTTTCATGTAACATGACTACATGCCATGCTCATGATGCGCTCGTGGCCGTTTCACTAGCTTCACATATTCCAAAATTAGTATTACGTGACGAGAACGGACGGTGAAGACAAATGGCACGTCCAAACATGATAATCATGACATGGAAGTCACGTACGGGAGAATTTACGTCTGCCTCATAACGTTGCGCTGATTTTAGAGGGACCTATCAACCTTCCTTATTCTTTCTTCGCATATCATCAATTGCCACTGTACGTGGCATCTGCCAAATTTTTTATTCTTTGTTGTCAGAAGCAGAAATAAATTAAAATTGTAATCGAAGAAAATGTTACAAAAAACTATAAAACAGTCACTAAACACCTTTTCCGTCGTCCACGTAGACAGCAGATGACTGAGAAAAATGCGTGCTTGTGCCTGCTTACAATAAGAAATGTAGCCGGATTCACTTTTTAAGGGTGTTCATGGGGCAGTCTCTGTGTACCGGGTAGGACGACGCTTTTATAAAGGTGTCAAGTCGGTGGAACAGAAACATTTCAGTCAAGCCGCATAGAGCTGAATTATTAACGAAAATTGACAAAATGATTAGTGTTCATGCGTCTATAGCTCGGCGCTGGTGTACGACGCTGTCATCTGACGGCAAATAATGCCACGTTCCTTCCTCAAGTTTCCTTAATACCATGTTTTGCTGCCGCGCGATTCTGAGCGCAAACCGCGCCTACAGTGTTCGAGAAGCTTCAGGACTGCGGTAGATAATTTTGTTGAGATTACGCCCACTTCGTGAGCATTTCAGATTATTCTTGAATCTACGTCGCCTCTAGCGATAATGCTGGAATGTTCAATGGCGAGTGCACAAAAGATTTGGGTGCACGTTAAAGAACTCCAGGTGGTCTAAATTTCCGGAGCCCTCCACTACGGCGTCTCTCATATTCATATAGTGGTTTTGGGACGTTAAACCCCACATATCAATCAATAAATGGCGAGTGCACAAATGCCAACACGCTTCGCCGCTTGTCAGTTCATCGACGGCCGACGCTGCGTTCACCGCTATCAGTGCAAGTGTGCTACTGAGCTTCATCGATATACACGTCCCGTACGGCTCCGTACGGCCCCGGACGCCGGCGCCGCATTCGTTTTTCTCTGGGACCAACTAGAAGCTCCACCCACTGGTCCGGGATCGTTCGGACGTATGTTCGTTTTTTGCGGCCTGGGACCGTCCGAACGATTTCTTTCGGGCAGCTTAGAGTTATAACTTTATACAGTATACTGTATATGCTACCTTTAGGTAGCATATACAGTAACATCCCAAAGGTTGCATATACAGTAACTTTAGGGCAGCTGGCATGATGATATGTGGGGTTTAACGTCCCAAAATCACAATATGATTATGAGAGATGCAATAGGGCAGCTGGCAGCCGACAGCGCGGAATGCATGCCAGTGCGGCCATCTTAAGTTAGACACAGAAATTTTTACGCGCCCCTGCTCTCTCTTTGCTTTTCTATCCGCTTCTCGCATGTTTCTGGATTTCGCCTTGTTTGCGCACCCAGTTCTTGTCAACGGTGTTCTGAGCCATGTCGAAAATGTGCGTATTGCCGAAGGTCGGGCAAACACGCGTTATACTCCTTAGGAGAAACAGCGGTGGAACTACGATGCGCATGCGCCCTAGTATAGTTCACTTACAGTAAGTTGCATCACAACAGAAACGGGTATAATCCACTTACTAACTGCGGTTTAGGTTGGATTGGGTCGGCGTTGTGGCCTGTGTCATAGCTATGGAGCGAGCAGACGGCATAGCTTGGCAGAGCAGACGCCATAGCGGATGCAGCCAGCATCAATAGTGCAGATGGCCTGAGGCCACTCGGGCTGGCTCGGGACGTTAAGATCACGGGCATGTGACGTAGCCACCTATGAGCCGAGGATGTCCGCGGGCCACTGGCGAGTGATCCGGGACTTGGTAAATCGATGAAGCTCACTGTAACCTGACTTTCCGTTTACCGGTTAGAGGTTTGCCCATATAAACAGTTTGATCTGACCATACAGTCTCCTGCCTTCAGCCCCGTCACGACACCGTGACAATATCAACCCAGTATCGCCTTTAGGTGTAGAGAAACTAGTGCTTCGGTGTTTGCTCGCTACATTACTAAACGCAGCTAGTAGATAGAAATATCGTTTTATATATTTTTCTCAATAATTCGAGAAGACTACAGAAGCCATTTGTGAGAAGAGTACTACTACCACATACTTTATCATGACTTCAGCAGTCAATATCTAAAACGTTCTGCTCGCACCCTGATCCCTTATACAACAAGTGACGGACGCAACCACAGGAGACATTGGGTCGGCATAACAAGTCTATTTTCGTGACACCTCATTGTTATCTCCTACGGCGACTGCACGTGTGTTGCTGTCTCTCAGGGTGTATGTAAATATGCATTTGCGTGTTTGTCTTGGTGTATGGCATTTTTGTTTGTTTGTCCCTTTTATCCTGGCGCAACCCACCATGAGGTATGGGCCATGAAACGAATAGTGTCGTGCTATTTCAAAGGAAATGTTCGTAGTTTTGAAATGTTACATTTTCATGCGAAATGCGTTGTAGTCTTATTTCTCTCACTTTTCACACAGTTTAACAGAGGTATGAGTATGGGGTGGCCAGATTCTCTCAAGCTGGCAGTGCGTCCTTGTTCTTGTCTAACCGAGACTCTCATGAAAAAAAAAAATCCAGCGTGGCTCTGGTTGGCTTAACATCGTAAAGGTAAATCTACGGTGAAGCTGGCGGGAAGCCTCGGCGATGAAATTCAAGGTGATGCAAAACTATGCGAAAATGGACTTGGTTTAGCACGGAAGAAACCTCGTCCTTGCTTGACCACTTGCATGTCCCCAACCTCCAACTTGTCTCTCTCCTCGATCCGCTCATCTCGGCTATACAATGCTACACCATGTCTGCCCCATTCGCTCCTATCAACTTCCCTTCAGTTTCCACACTTTGCTATACTATACTTACATGGTTATTCGCCTAGGTGGAACAGTAAGTATGGTTGATGACTGAATGGTCGCGGGATCGACCCCTACCGCTGAGATTGCATTTCGTTGGAGTCAAAATGGTATAGGCCTGCGCACTGAGGGATGTGAATGCACGATAAAAGATCCAGATAATATTATTGTATACTATACATAGCTATGGTACGCCTTACCATAATGCCCTCCTGTCTTCTCGCCTCCTCACCCTCATTTTCCTTTTCCGCCAGCTTGTTACATTATACATGTCTACGCTTTGCTTCACTTTCTTCCCTCACACTCATTCAAAAGGCTGCAGACGAGACTGCTCCTGTTTCAGCTGGGCTTTATCAACTCTGCTATAATAGGCAAAACGCCGCCTCCAAACGCAGGACGGGTCACGGCGACCACCAGTATGACGAGGCGGAGCCTTTGCTGGCGAAGAACCGCGGAGTCTGGAGCCGACTCAAGCGCAACCTTGCGTCGCTGGTGACCGTAGCATTCGCACACATCAGTGCGTCCCGGGCCATCTCCGTGCTCGTGCTAGCATCGTTCCTCCTAACAGCCGTCGACTTCGGAAAGGACAACGGGCTGGCGGGCTACGAGGCTGTCGCACTTGTCACTGCCGTCGCGCTCGGTGACCTGGTGTCGCGCATTGGCACGGGCCTCCTGCTGGACTTCAAGGTTAGGAGCGGAACCGCCCTCGCACCTTTGCTTTCGCAAATCATATTAAAGTTACAAAATGGGACGTCCCTGCACCCATTGTCTCTAGTACATTATCTTAATGAACAGAATGTAAAGAATGCCCCTATTCGGCGCAGTTCCGCTGTCCTAAAATTCGCTGGATCTCTTATGCATCACCCTAACTCGGATTCGAAGGCGAAAGCAATATTTCTTAATATTTTCAGTGAATGTATCGATCCGCTCCATTCCTCCTCTAAAAGCCTTCTGAACTTAACATTTACACATCCTCCACGACCAGATGCACTGCAGGCTTTCTGCCCCTACACTGGTTTCGCGCTGCCTCAATAATCGGCTGATGTATGACCACACGACAATGTCATGCGGGACGTTATCGTGAGACATGGCACCATGGTAATCTCATGGTGTGACAAAATTTTGCTTCTGTAGTGTAATGATGACGTCATGCGGTGACACCATCACGTGCCATTTTTTTTCATCACCATCGTGTTTACGCCGATGGTCAATTTTATTTTCCAGGAGGAACCTAAGGGTATCGCTTTAATAGTTACAAATTTCTGTTGTGCTGTGCTGTACGATGCAAACCAAGAGAGTCTCCGTCTGCAGAGAGTGCGCCTTTAAGCTACTGAATCTTTTTTTTAAAATGTTGGTAAAAAATATTGGTCGAAAAAAAATTAGTACATGTTTCTGCCGTTTTCAGCTAATAGTATTCGAGAGAGACGTAAACACTATGACGTTTAAAAAAAATGGCTTGGGTGAACGTCATTAAGGCCCACGTATAGTGTCATTTACGCGCAATTGTTCGTGTGTTTGGGGCTCCAAGTTAAGGCATGTCATTGGCAATAAGGTTGCGTCAAAGTGCTATTAGATTGGACTGTGGAGCGAGTGCTTATAATTGGAGGTCTGGATTCGAAAAAAAAATTATCCCGCAAATGTCAAGGCTTCTGTGTGTGTGTGTGTGTGCGCGCATGTGTGCGTCCGTGCGTATATCCATGTAATGCTGCAGAAGCAGCGCATTGTACGTGCAACTGAAGGTTATGAGAAATGGAGCGCTAAGAAAATTACTGTAGTTCCGTTGCTAACACATCGTGTACCTTAAAATATTTTCGAAATAAAAACTAAACTTGCTCCCTTCACGTTCTCAGTTCTAAAAAAAGTTTATTTATAATTTTCAAAGTTATAACGCCACAGTTCTACGCAATAAGTCTGTGTTTTATTTACGACGCCAACCAGCAACATGTACGAAAATAACTCCCCGAAATAAGTCCATACGATGATTTTTGTAAGCCCCACTGCTGACCGTATAAGAACACGGCAGCTAACTCAGGCTCGTGCACGGAACAATGTTTCAAGTAAAGCGTATCCATGACAATGGGTACCAGACGTGCTTCTGCGTCTAAGCGTCTGGTCTTTGTCTCTGCAAAAGCGACCCGGCATGCCTTTTGTCTCCTGGCGCCACACTTGACTTTTTTCCGTGAACAACTGCCCCGCGCAGCGCACGCTCTGTTGTTTAGGGAAACGAAGAGTTATGCTACTATCGATGCTGTTTTGGCACGCTGACCATGCACCACACGGTACGCGATATCATTGCTGTTGGGTAATTACACTCACGCAATCCTCGAGATGCCTCGTTTTCAAAGGGTGCTATCAAATGTTGTTTGTGAGAACACCAGTTTAGAAGCTTATGCGATTTGCTATGCCCGTAAGGTGGGGGAATCGTGATCTTTATTTTGGTGGTATTGCTCGCGCTCCTCGAGTACTTTTTTGTTGTTTTCATATAATGTTAGCGTGGAAGCCATGAGTGATTGATTCCACTCTTTTCTTTTCTTTGCTGTGCCTAATACTCGATGCTACTGCAATATTATGTTGGGAGCTTCAACTAGGCGATAGTTTTTTAGCCATAGCAAAGCGGAGCAATAGCTGCTGTTTCTATAGCAACATACCACGATATGTGGGTAGGGCGTTAAAATTGCTGGTACAGCAGCTATATATGGGCTCGATGATATAGGAAGAGAGAATTAGTGGAAGTGTATGAAGGAAACGAAGAATGACGACCCAACGAAGAATGACTATATTTATATGATTATTGTTGAGCAGTCAACGCATTGTAGTGTACTCGTCGTTTTCTTTATGTTTTGTAATGACAGCTAATGGTCTTTGAAATCAAAGAGAACGCGTCTCGGGCTGCACGAAAAGCACGAGTCCAAATACTTTTGCTGATACAGCACACTTGATTTAGCAAGGACCCAGTATGCTCAGTATTTCGCAGTAGAGAAGTGGCTATGGTGCTCCGCTGCTGACCCAAAGGTTGCAGGTTCGATACCACACGCGACGGTCACATTTTGATGGAGGCGAAGTTCCAGATGCTCGTGGGCTGTGTGAAGTCACTGCCTGTTAAAGAGCCCCAAAATGCTAGAATTTCCCAGAGCCCTCTCCTATGACGTCTCTAATCATATCGTAGTTTTCTGACATAAAATCCCAATTATCATTACTACCTTAGATGCTCAACTTGTAGAGCTCCACAGTGCTGATTCATTCAGAAAACCGAACAGGTGGGCATCCATGGAAAACAATAAAAAAAACCATTGATACGTGGTAGCCACTTTATCTAGAGAGGGGGGATGTATGGATTTACCAAAAGGCGCTCACATCTATCTTTTATGTCTGGCCAATACAGTAGCCCTTACTTATGGCCCGCCGCGGTGGTCTAGTGACTAAGGTACTCGGCAGCTGACCCACAGGTCGCGGGTTCAAATCCCGGCTGCGGCGGCTGCATTTCCGGTGGAGGCGGAAATGTCGAGGCCCGTGTGCTCAGATTTGGGTGCACGTCAAAGAACCCCAGGTGGTCAAAATTTCTGGAGCCCTCCACTACAGCGTCTCTCATAATCATGTGGTAGTTTTGGGACGTTAAACCCCACAAGTCAATCAATCATCATCAATCAGCCCTTACTTATCTATCGTCTCCTTCACTATGCCGTGTTGTCAAGCAAACACCTCGAAGCAAACTAGACGTTACTTGACGACAGCTATAGCGCGAGAAGAAAACGACGACACAGAGACAAGGAACGAAATGGGTACCAGACGTGCTTCTGCGTCTAAGCGTCTGGTCTTTGTCTCTGCAAAAGCGACCCGGCATGCCTTTTGTCTCCTGGCGCCACACTTGACTTTTTTCCGTGAACAACTGCCCCGCGCAGCGCACGCTCTGTTGTTTAGGGAAACGAAGAGTTATGCTACTATCGATGCTGTTTTGGCACGCTGACTAGCACCACACGGTACGCGGTATCGTTGCTGTTGTGTAATTACACTCACGCGATCCTCGGGATGCCTCGTTTTCAAAGGGTGTTATCAAATGTTGTTTGTGAGAACACCAGTTTAGAAGCTTATGCGATTTGCTACGCCCGTAAGGCGGGGGAATAGTGATCTTTATTTTGATAGTATTGTTCGCGTTCCTCGAGTACTTTTTTGTTGTTTTCATGTAATGTTAGTGTGGAAACCATGAGTGATTGAATCCACTCTTTCTTTGCTGTGCCTCGTACGCGATGCTACTGCATTATTATGTTGGGAGCTTCTACTAGGCGATAGTTTTTTAGCCGTAGTGAAGCGGAGCAATAGCTGCTGTTTCTATAGCAACATACCACAATATGTGGGTAGGGCGTTAAAATTGCTGGTACAGCAGCTATATATGGCCTCGATGATATAGGAAGAGAGAATTAGTGGAAGTGTGTGAAAGAAACGAAGAATTACAACTCAACGAAGAATGACTATATTTGAATGACTATTGTTGAGCACTCAACGAATTGTAGTGTACTTGTCGATTTCTTTGTGTTTTGTAATGACAGCTAATGTTCTCTGAAATCAGAGAGAAGGCGTCTCGGGCTGCATGCAAAGCACGAGTCCAAATACTTTTGCTGATACAGCACACTTGATTTAGCAAGGACCCAGGTTGCTCCATCTGTCGAGGTAGCGCAATGGTTATGGTGCTCCGCTGCTGAACCAAAGGTCGCACGTTTACTAACAGGCGCTCACTTCAGTCTTTTATGTCTGTCCAACACAGTAGTCCTTATTTACTATCTATCGTCTCCTTCACTATGACGTGTTGTCAAGCAAACACCTCGAAGCGAACTGGACATTACCGTATTAGTTATGTTTGTTTATTTTAGCTTGCTATATGCTTCTTCGCTATTTTTTAATTTTGTGTGCGGGAGGGGGGGGGGGGGGGGGCTTGTATAGGCTTTTTTTTTCGCTGCACAATTGATAGAAATGGACTAGCAGGGGTGACGTAAACCTCAACTTCTTCACAGCGAGACAGTTAAAACAGGACAGTACGGAATTGTCAATTTAATGTGGTTCGCGTATTATTCCCGAGCTCACTTACCTAGACGGACGTGGCTAAAATATACCCTGCCTTCATTCTCTTGCGCAGCTGATGAGCGCGGAATGCCTGATGATGTGGGGCTTCGGGATCCAGGCCGTGGCGCTCGCTGCCACAGCGCTGGTCAAGCAGTACTGGCTTCTCATGGTCAGCTGCTTCTTGGTCGGCGCGTCTGGCGGCGGTCGCATTTTCGCCAGCACCGTCATGATCTCCGAACGAGTTGAGCAGGACTCACTCTCACTCAGTTTGGGGGTCATGAACTTTATCGCCGGCTTGTTGTGCTTAGCACGGCCACCGCTAATAGGTGAGTCACAAAGACACTTTTATATAGAATGTTTTCTTTATTAGCAAAATATTTCGGTGTGTCAGCCGGAAATGTAAATGATTCATTTAAAAAAAATCACAGAATATCCATGGAGTGAATGATGATGAGTGGGATGAAGCGTTTCCGTGCGTCCGTGCTTCTATAAGTTCATCCGTGCGTCCGTCCGTCCGTCTGTCTGTCTGTCACTCACACTAGTGTCACCTACTGAGTGAATTATACAACTTCATGGTTACGAACCGGTCACAGACATGCATGCACATTCCCACGGCTTTAGGAGTTTTGCCCCTAAAAAACACAGGCAGAAAATAAGTGAGGTGACATTTTGTAAATGTGTCAGAATTGGTTTTAATTACGCTGACTACCTTTAATTACACTCTCTGCCAAGATCAGCCAACATTAACCTGCTTAGAGGCGTGCCAGTTAACAGAACAGCATCACACATGTTGGGTTATAATATGCACTCGTCAAAGCGCGCCTCCTAATGAAAATGCAGTGATATATTTCTTGGCTTTCTCTGCAACCTGCAGACTCACACGGCTGAAGTGCACGTGAATTTTGAACGCGGTTAATAAAGTGTTGTCGTTAACTATTTGAAGACGTATTCGATTAGCTCTTGAAACTCCATACTAATGCGTCTGCTCATCGCAGGTTACGTGCGTGACGTGCTCGGCAGTTACGACCCGCTGTACATCGCTTTCGCCATCACCAACGCCGTCTTCATGGTGACCTGGATGGCCAGCCTTTTCTGGGAAAGGCGCATTCACTGTAGATTGGAAAGACAGAATGCCACCACCTCATGTAAGCCTACCCTAACCTCTGGTAGGTTTTACTGAACAGCTTGCATTTCAGAAAACTAGTGCAAGTGTTCAAACGTGTCTTCGATGGTAACTAGGCAGATTTTGTTACGTTACGGCTTGGCAAAAAGGAGCGACGCAGCTGCAGACCTAATCAAAAGTTCAGAAGCCAGCACCTACCGATTACAAGTCGCATTTCAACCCCTTACCTAGTCATAGAATATTTTTTATTGCTCAGTAGTGGTAAAAAACTTGGGACTGGTGCGTTTTCTAGCTCTGATTACTGGGATACCTCAAGAAGGTTCGGTCCCAGGCCTGGACCCTCGCAAAGTGATTTCTATACTTTCAGCAAGTAGTGTACATAATTTGCATCATGCATCTAATTTATTTCACAAGTATTGAATTATGTGCTATTATCCTCCTTATATTTGTGATACTTTGTATTTGTATATTTTTGAACCAAGTTAGCGTTTGGTACTTTTGTTTCTCTCTATTTGTGAGGGCATTTTCATATGAACTTAAAGTGCACTTTTTCAAAGCCAAGTAGCACGGTTTGCAGAAATGAGAAAGTAAATGATGTTGTTCGAAATAAATTGATCAGGTAGCCATACAACTATCGCAGTTAAGTGATAGTTAAGGCTTATTTGTACTTTTGCCAGTGCCGGATAAAATATCAATGTACATAGTTATCTTATTTTTAGAGGCACGCTAAATTATGTTTGCTTTACAAATGAAAAATCGAAAGAAAAGATTTTGACAGGTTTGACCAAAGTTCATATAATACTGTCATTTGATCCTACGCAACATTTTTCGTTCTTCCTTTTTGCTGCATCATTTTCAGCTCAAGAAACAGAAACAGCGGTGGAGTGACGGACATCGAGAAGTACTGGAAAGAATTGTGATACAAGAAGTTTATCATCACACGCCGTCACAGTTGCGAGCGACTTGGCGTTTTAACTTATACCATTAGCACATATTGGTTGATTTTTGTCTCTCTCTCTCTGCAACTTTTAACTCGCGATTTACACGTGGGCAACGCCCTTTTTAGTTCCTTTTAGTTCGTTTAGTTATTTTTAGTAGCCCTCACAGTGAGAAGAAAAAAAAAACAATTTTTACATCACATGCCTACTTGTCTTTTTCGAAATGGATTCATTGAATGCATTTTCAACAACCTCCGTGACTTTGGCGTTCTGCTGCCACCAGGCACAAGGTTCTGGGGGCGATTATCAGGCACTATGTCCCTCTCTCGACTGAAGCGAGTAGTAGAAAAATCAAGGCAGTTTCGCCCTATAGTGGCACCAACTCTGAAGACAATGGTTTGGTGGTTGTTCCTCAGAGTCCTGGCGCAACCCACCACGGGGGATCGGCCATGAAACGGACGGTGCCTCATTTGTGAGATCAAATTGTTGTACCAGCTGGGTTATTCAGATAAGGATGCTTAAACAAAGAACCAATTGGTAAACGATAGATTAGAAATAAAAGAGAGGTAATAAAAACGAGCAAGCTAATATGGTTTGAAATAAAGTGAATTTATGCCTCAGCGTAACACTCTATTTCTTTTGTTGCCTTTAGAAAATCGCATACGGCTTTGCAAATGTTCCTGTGGCTAAATCTCTTTTCAGTCGCTCTAAAGAAAAGGATCACCGGAAGAAATAAATTTAGAGACAACCTACGGAGAGGTTCTTCTAACAGTCTCTTCCTTTGGTTTGTGTATAGCCTGCATGTTAAGAGAAATTATGAAGGGATTTACTCTCGTTGCAGTGGAGGCATAGGGGGAGACTGCCAGACCAGACCTGTGTAGATAAAAATTCAGGGGGGCGGGGGGGGGGGGACTTGGTATATCCAATAATTGATATATCCGCCATTCTAGAGGAGCACCATCAATTTTTTTAAGGATACTTAAGATGAGAAAAATATGTTTGCTGCCAAGCCAGACTTTTCAAAATGATCTGATATGAAAAATGTTTCAAAGCGTGCCACGGCGATAAATGCTAGCGTCGGTAATTTAGAAATTATAGGCTAATTATGTGAGACCACTGCGAGTGTGTCTGCTTATTGATTTAGGGTTAAACCTTCATGTCTTGGTATCCACACCAAGCGAATGAGTCATAAATGTTCGGGGCGAGGGCGTAAAATACTTTTAAAGCATTGGACATATTAGGCGCAGTTAATGAACTACACACAGACAGGCAGTCTGAAAGTATAATAGCATCTGTTATTTATTGAGACAATTTCCGTAATGCTAAGAGAATCGCAAGTAATTACGCTTGATATATGGGTGTAAAATGGAGTAAACGAATTGAAAAAGACAAACCCAACACTGAAGAAGCAATTCCGACGCCTCCTTATCTTCGCAAACTGAAGCATCAGTTGCTATTACAATCTTTATGTCTAATCTTGCCAGGTGGTCTTTCAAAATGGCACTTGGGTATCTACTGGGAAGACTTTTGCAATTATTAGAAAATATATTGTCAAACTCTATTTTAATTGTTTGAATAGGTGTTATTAGTACCAGTACCTCACGAAGGTTAAGTTGTAAGGTTTCGAGAGCTTCTGTATGACGATGACTTGTGGACGTTTTAATCTAGACCCCTGTTGGTTAAGAAAGAACGTCAGCTCATTAATGAAAACACATTGCGACCTACTCTGCGGGGATGCACATATTTTTAAGAAGGTACGAACTGCTAGTACTTGGAACCTAGCACGAAAAAAAAAGGTAGGCGCGCTTCCTTATAAAAAATAATAATTGCGACAAATTAAGGAAGCCCAAGACTTAAACGTAATGCTTCGCATGCTAGTAGTACCAGTGGTCTAATTTTGTAAGCGGGTGCTCCAGAAAACAAGACACAGACAAACTCCAATATTGGGCGGATATACATACAATATATCATGACCAGCACAACACGATGTAAACCAGAACGTTTATTGCCGAGTCTACGAAGCATCTCAAGCACTCCCGCTCCTTTAGCTGCCATATTTTCTATACGCGGACTCCAATTTAGGTTTTCAGTATAAGTCACTTCTAAGTATTTAATCGATTCCACCTACGGGATAAATTCCTGTCAGTAAAGTACGGAAATATGCACTGGAACACTTATCGGAAAAAAAATACGATTGCACTTTTCCGGATGTTTAACGATCGATTATTGTCGTCTAACCATGTGTCCAGAGTGTTCATATAGAACTGTAGCATCTGATATAGTGTATGTATATATTAAGCTGTAGCAAAAAATGCAATGTCATCAGCGTATACATACACTTGTACTATAATTGTGCACAATAAAATATTAAATATTAATAGTGACAGTACCGAACCTTGTGGGCGACCTCTAGTTTGTTTATACTTTGAAGAAGACACGTCAGATTGAGAGCAATATAATTCTCTATCTTTTAGATAGGAGTACACTCATGCCACGAAGGAATTTGATTAACCAACGTGCATTAGCGAACTTATTAGTTTATTGTGTTGATTGATATATGGAGTTTAATGTCTCAAAACCACCATATGATTATGAGAGACGCCGTAGTGGAGGGCTGCGGAAATTTCGACCACCTGGGGTTCTATAACGTGCCCCCCAAATCTGAGCACACGGGCCTACAACATTTCCGCCTCCATCGGAGATGCAGCCGCCGCAGCCGGGATTTGAACCCGCGACCTGCGGGTCAGCAGCCGAGTACCTTAGCCACTAGACCACCGCGGCGGGGCAGTTTATTGTGTTCCACACTGTCATATGTTTTTGCAATATCTAAAGGCGGAAACCCGTTTCTTAGAACGAGCTAGTTGTATCCTGCTTTCCAAATCAACAAAGGCACACCAAATGGAGCAGCCACACCTGAATCCAATTTGGCGTGGGCTTAAAATTGTGTTCTCGTCCAACCAGTTGTCTATCCTAATGTGTAGAATTCTTTCGTTTAGTTTTACCAGATTAGATGTGAATGAAATAGGCCTAGTGTTATCCAAAGTAAAGGAATAATTTTCGCAATTCTCCACTCAAGCGGAATCCACGAATGTCTAATGGAGTGGTTAACTATTGCAAGTGAATCCTGAAGGAATACTATATAGATTATTAAATGCGAAGCATTTCTTAGCGAACTTCAGCGGCTTTGAGCGTATATATCTAGCCGCTTACGTTTGCGTGCTTTCAAGGCCACCCCCTTCACTTGTCGTGAACCAAAATTAGTATGAGAGGGTAAGATGGTTGGACGAATATGACGCGCTGGTGAAGACATGAATAATGTCATAATCCAGTCGCATACCTCGTCAAACACTTTCCGCCAGACAGTGGAACATACCTACGGGCGGGTATGTGCCGCTGGTATGCGAGTATGTGCCACAGGTGATTGACCCAGGAACGACGAGAACCCAAAGGGGCAATATTAACGCGTGAATGTTAAGGAGGTCTAGTGGCTAAGGTGCTCGGCTGCTGACCCGCAAGTCGCGGGATCGAATACCGGCTTCGGCGGCTGCATTTCCAATGGAGGCGGAAGTGTTGTAAGCCCGTGTGCTCAGACTTGGGTGCACGTTAAAGAACCCGAGGTGGTCGAAATTTCCGGAGCCCTCCACTACGGCGTCTCTCATAATCATATGGTGGTTTTGGGACGTTAAACCACACAAATCAATCGAATGTTAAGGAACCCGACATCGGTAGCGTCGATCCAACGAAGGCATTGAATAAATCGCAGTATAAGAAAAACCTGACATAGGCAGTGTTGACACCCCGATGAATGCAAATAATAAACTTCAGGGTCCCAGCAGGAATCGAACAAAACCATCCTGCGTAGCACTCGATCATTCTGCAACAGAGCTACGACAGGTCTCAGAAATACTGTTCAAGTAGACCCTTATCTTCGTGAAACGTCAATAGTGGCTGCAGTGCTCTCTACCCAATTTTTAACCATGACATATATGCGATCCTTTGATACGGCCGTCACGTCAGGTTAACGTAAGTTTTGGTTAGGTGCCGTGCACCGAAATCGATTTATGTAGCAGTGTTCAGGGCCAGCATCTTCGCGAGCATAAGCGCTCCGTATATGCTTCCGGCGTTGCTTATACGCATGTTCCAGTTGGCATCGTTGCTCAAGTGCACACAACTGGTTATATAAACATCTTAAACTCTTGAAAATATGTCTGTGCGTGCAACACTTGTACAATTATTTAGCGTCATTTCATGACGTGTCGCTCAAGAAAAAAATTCAACACGGTTACCTTTCCTCCGCATGCTTCACATAACGTTGATTCCCAGGTACGTGGGATCTGCGGATTTTTTTTTATTACCGATGCATTTATTCCATTAGGACCTGGAGCAGAATTTGGCAATATTTTCACTACTTGTGCTATTTAGGATACTGTAACCTCTTCAAAGTCATCGCCGTTAAGAGAGCACGGCGAGTGGTAAAAATAAGCAGCCGTGAAGGGGCTTTCAAGCCATTGAGCGATATTTTCCAGAAAAGCGGACTTGGCTTTGAGACTTTGGGACTTGGCTTTGAGACTATCGATTCGAGGTTTGCTGGTGATGGGTTTACTTTTTTTTTGGCTCTAAGGAAGTTGAAAAGTGATTTCCTGTGACCAGGCTTTGAAAGTAACTCGGAACGTTGGCTATCATAGTTGACCTTCGCAGCTGCAACTGTTCGCTTAAAAACTGCGGCTGCGTATTCATAATCGCTTTAGTTTCTATGGCACTGATTATAGGGCAGTTTTCAACATGCCGCTTTTCTTAGCCTATAAAAAATTGAACAATCAGAGTTCCTCCAATGATTCAAAAGACGTTGTTTAGAGACCTGAACTGTGAATTTAGCTTTATTTAAATATTGTTTTATAACATCATTCAAGTTGATAACATTCCGCTGTTTATTTTCCTAGGTTCGTTTTGACAACGCCACACACAGTGTCTGTTCATGTGTATTGAAATTGATGTGAGAAGTGGGCTGCCCGATTACTGTGAAGTCACGGGACATACATGCTGAAACAATATAGAAAAATGGTCGCTGTTTGTACCCGAGTTCAAAGAAGACCATGTAGAAATACAGAGGCTAGGACTACAGATAATCAGATCAATCGCAGAATGAGACTGATTGCACACAAAGGTGGGCGTTCACTGATTAATGCATGTTAAATCACTTTTAGCAACAAAATCCCACAAACGCTTTCCACTCACATCTCTTCTGAATCCCCATGAAGTGTGATGAGAATTGAAGTCTCCTACCAATAATATGTCTTTACTGCAAGACGAAATTACGGTATCTAAAACACTAGAATTTTGAACATTTAACGGAAAATGAGCGTTTACTAATGAAAAAGGAAGGTGTTCCAGAAGAGAGATATCTAATGTTAAAATTTCACTTTCTGAATTCATCATTTCACTGATAACTTTTACCCGGTGGGCAACGCAATTTTCGAAGAGATAAACACTGCTAAACCACCACCTCGAGAGGGGCGGTCTAAGCGGACTGTTCGGTAGTTTTTAAGATGAAAGATTTTCTCTTTAGAGAGCCAAGTTTCTTGCAACACTGTAACATCTGCGGAATGCTGATTACAAAGGCAAA